GTTCCCATTGGTGGAAGGGTCAAGAAATGGGATGGCACAGATTCAAGGTGATTCTCAAAAGAAGCGATAGGGAGATGAGGAGAAAAGTTTCCATGCGGCGAACAGTCAGGATCCAGAATGCGTTGTCTGACAGTGTGGTGGGGATAGATTCAATCAAGGAGGAATTGGATTGTTGTTCGAAGAGGAAGAATGTGCAGGGTTATGGTGAGAAGTGGCAAGGAGTACAGCTATGATGAACTGCTCTTTCAGAGCTAGGGGAAGCACGATGGATCAAATGGTCTCCTCTTGTGCTGTAATCTTTCTACAATTGTGAAAGTGAAGACTGTCAGACTCGAACTGACCTGGGCTGAATGATACAGCTCGGCACCAGAAATGCGGTCTCACCAACAAATGCAAGGAGATGGGTCAAACTCATGTCACTCACCAGCTGTATACAGTGACCCATGGAGATATCACATGATAGATGGACAGGCCTCTGCTAACATAGACTCCAGGTTCAAATGGATGATTGCACGCATTTCATAATATGCTCGAGGTGAAGTTGTTAAGTAGAGTTGGTGGGCATTAGGGTAGTGTATCACATGGACAATCACAAGGCACTTGGGGGGAATGTTAATCATGCTCTGTGCAAGCTAGAACACCCTTTTAATGCAGCTATTTATCTGTTTTGAAAGAAGACCATTTAATATTTCAGGTCAATCTGTTTCCTGTCCACAGACGTTACCTGATTTCCAACATTTCTTGTTTTCAATTTCAGATTTTCAGCATCTGCAGAATTTGTATGTTAATTCCATACCCTACTTCACTAATCACCATCCTACAACTCGAATCTCCTGTCAGACGGAGCTCGTGAAGAAGCTATTATGAATTGCTGAGAGTGCTCTGCTTTGTCAACATTGCCATTGCTTCAAACATTTTTCTCACTTCAGTATAATGCAGCAGCAGAAATAGCACTTGCAATCCAACACTCACTGGTGACTCAGAGGGTGAAGTCATGTTGTGTTTGGTCACTTGCTGTGATATTGAGCCCACCTGAGATTAGAGTGAATGAACTGATTTCAATTGGAGGCCGTTTCGGACTGGTACAACTAGCACATGGTGTCCCCTGAACTGGAAAACTGCTGTCTAGGGACCGCTGTATGAAAATATGATCATTACCTCTTTTGTGAGGTTACAGCAGCCTGCTGAACTATAAGAGGCAGTACAAAGCCATTTGGCCACTGTACTTGATGGTCCTTATGCACGAGTCCTCCTGGACTGACCTATCCCCTCCCTAACTCCCCACCTACACTCACCTTTACTGGCTCCATCCCCACCTCTTTGACCTGTCTGTCTCCTCTCCACCTATCCTCTCCTCTATCCATCTTCTATCCACCTCCCCCTCTCTCCCTATTTATTTCAGAACCCCCTTCCCCTCCCCCATTTCTGAAGAAGGGTCTAGGCCCGAAATGTCAGCCTTCCTGCTCCTCTGATGCTGTTTGGCCTGTTGTGTTCATCCAGCTCTACACCCTCTTATGCATGACCTCCCACTTTTAGCCTACTTCTTCGAATACACTGACAATCCTTTCTTGCACATGCGTTTATCTAGCTTTTCCTCAAATGCATCAATGTTATTCTTTATTTTTCTACAGGATGGGGTCATTGCTAGCAAGGCCAGCATTTGTTGCCCATCCCCAATTGCCCTGGAGTTGAGTGGCTTACTAGGGCACGTCAGAGGGCAGGTACGAGTCAACCACATTATTGTGGGACTGGAGTCACATGTGGGCCAGGCCGGGTAAAAATACCAAATGTCTTTTCACATAGACCATATATGTAGTAATTACCTGGTCAGCCTCACTGAGACGAACGTTTATAATTACAAGCTAGTTTATTTATTGAATTTAAATTCTACCATCTGCCAAGATGGAATTTGAATCCATGTCCCTAGAACATTATCTTGGGTCTCTGTGTTACTAACACAATGACGTTAGCACTCTGTCACCACTTTCACAGCTAACCTCTGTGATACATAGGGACCTAAGAGCAGGAGGCGGCCATTTGGCCCTTTGAACCTGTTCAATAAGATCAAGGCCAAGTCTGGGTGTGGTCTTGACTGCACTTTACTGTCTGGCTCCTAGCTTTGGAGTGCCCTGCTGTGGGAGCATCCTGTCTACATCCAGCCTATCAAGACTTTGCATAATCTCAAAAACCTTGAGCATGTCATCACATTGTTTCCCCAGGTTCTCTTTCCTAGAAAGAAGAGCACTAACCTTTCTCCAAGTGCGGCAACCTCTTGGTTCTGATGTCATCCTGAAAAATATCTTTATCTGAACTTTCTCCATTATATCCATACACCTCCTGCATAAAGCTAAATGACTGAAGTGATTTGTAAATTAACTGACAACATTAAACACTGACAAACTGTGGAGCAGTCAAGCAAGACAAGTCATTTCCAATTTTCTTCTTTGAAGGAAAGTGATGAATTGCCTCTTGGTTAACAGTCTTGAGAGCTGGGAGCATCTGTGTGGAATTGTATCCATGTACAAGTCAGCACTCCTGAGAATGGATGGAGGGGGAGGTGCTGAAGGCTTCAAGCAGAAGCAGTTCAAGACACTCACGAAGGAAGCACTTTTCTCAACAAAGATTTCACTTCCCTCGGTTCACTGCACCAGAGCAACTGAAGCTGATGCTGCCATTAAAAGCCTTCCATAAATGACGGTAACATTTAACTTTAGGAACCCAAGAGCTTTGTAAAATGGAACAATTTACTGCACCTCGAGAGCATCGGAGCTTCCTTCTCTGCTCTCGGAAGAATTCGTTTGCAGAGCTGGTCCCGGCTGGGTTCGCTAAACCAGCAGAACGATGCTTGCATCTTTTAATTTAAAACGCAATAAATGTTTGACAAGCAAACCGAGAAACTTCGATGCACGGGCCACCAATAGATTCTTCTCTTGATTGGATTACCAGAATGCAAATCAGATAAAGGCAAACAAATTCTGCTTGTTTTTGGACCCCAGAGAATCAATTATTCTTTGGGAAAGAGCATAAAAAAACAAATATTTGCGTCTGCTGTTTTCCAGCAGAATTATGAGCATCTCTCTGTCATAAGCACTGCCACCTCACTACCAGGCTAGCTTGCCTTATTAAGGCAGCCTTCCATGCACAGACTGAGACTGAAGACAACTTTTTTTTTTACTCTCCAGCATCTGAACCGATTTGCTTTATTGAGCAGTATCTTAATAAGACAATTAACTGGAACACTGATTGCTGCTGCTCCCAGTCTACTTGGATAATAATTTGATTAATCCATTAAGAATGGAGTCATGCAGTGCGTGCGTTCACTTGCACTAATGTGGAAATGCGTGGGACTCCACATGTCGATTTCCTCTTTTATTAACAACATCACACAAAGAGTTAAAACCCTCGAGAGCAAGGCAACTAATATCAGCATCTCCAAGCAAGCAGAGCTGGAAACTGTCATCCATTCTGATAAATACAAAAGCTTGAGCCTAAGACCTTAGAGCTGCCAACATCCTCAGGAAAGATCCTCACCCTGTTCCAACAGCTAATCCTAGACAGCAAACAGGAACTGAATTCATCGGGCTGGAGCACAAGGTCAGAAGATTACCCCAAAATGCCCCCCAACTGGTCAATATCACACTGCTTTTGCAGGAGTTCAGAGTCCACATATTGGCTGCCACATCTCCTGCATTGCAAACAGTGACTACACTTCTACAAGTTATTGGCTATAAATTACTTTGAAACACGATCCTGACATAAAATGCCCAGGCTAGCCTACAGCAGAGGAATAGGATTGGGTGCCAGTTCCAAATAAGCAATGAAGGCAGCACAATGGTACAAACATCAATGGAAGAGTCACAGTATTAACGTTGACCAGGGGAAGCCCTGTTGAAAGCAGGTCTTGATGGGGTTGCAAGGATAGAGAATTGAAACTGCAATATTCCAATGCTGTCATCAAACCCCATTTGCTTCAAATGCTGGTGAGTGCAGGTCGCTCCTCGTAGAATCCCTAGAATCATCATAGAATCCCTACAGCGTGGAAGCAGGCCATTCGGCACATCGAGTCCACACCGACCCTCTGAACAGCATCCTACCCAACCCCATCCCCCTGCTCCTATCCCTGTAACCCTGTATTTCCTGTGGCTAATCCATCTAGCCTGCACATCCCTGGACACTATGGGTAATTTAACATGGCCAATCCACATAACCTATTCGTCTTTGGACCGTGGAAGGAAACCAAAATGCCCAAAGGAAACTTATGCAGACATGGGGAGAACACGCAAACTTCACTAGATAGTCACCCAAGGGCGAAATTGAACCTGGGTCCCTGACGCTGTAAGGCAGCAGTGCTAAGCACTGAGTCACTGTGCTGTCTTCCTGTCCCATCTCACACATTCAAAAGAGAATGAAAGAGGCTGAGGATTTGAATTTCATTACTAAACAAATTTTACCATATAAATACTCGAGACTGATTTCAGTAAACTATCTATTTTTCTGACTGTTTCATGGTTGGGGGGATTGCTGGGAATGTCAGCATTTGTTGCCCATCCCTTAACGTTGTTGAAATGAATGGCTTGCTAGGCCACTTCAGCGGCCAATTAAAAATCACCCACACCACTGTGGGTCTGGAGTCACATCTGGAGGCAGGACCCGGTTAAGCATAGAAGGTCATAGAGTCATACAGCATGGAAACAGACCTTTCAGTCCAACCCAGTCCATGCTGAACATAATCCCAATCTAAACTAATTCCACCTGCCATGAAGATTAGTGAACCTCCAGGGTTTTCACTACAATCAGTGGTAATTTTACTACCACTATTACCAAGACTAACTTTATAATCCAGATTTTACCATTTGAATCTTAATTCCGTCTGCTGCTTCATTTGGATTTGAACCCATGTCCTTGGAATACTAGTCCAGTGACATGACTATTTCTTCACCATCTTCCCCAGATCCTAGGGGCCTCAGACTGAACTGTCCATGATATTTCCATGTACTCACCTGCCTGCTTTCACTCCGCCAAAGCCCATTAACAGTTTTGGTTGGCGCGATGGTCACCACAGGGGGGGTACTGGGAACGCTGTGACCAGCTGTCGGGACAAGGATGGGTCCAATCGGGCCTCTTTTGGGTGTACTGGCAGGAGAGCTGTGATTGGTTGCTGGGGAAGAAACCGGTGAGGACTCACTGCTTATTGAAGAACCTGCAAAACAAACAAACAGACAAAAAAATGCTGCAAACAAGTGTCTGGTTTCCAAAAGCATCAATTTATGCCGCCAGTTACATTGTTTAGCCAGATAATGCAGCAGCTATTTTCCACGTAGCAAGTTGAAACACATTAACAGTGATACAAGTGACTTAGGCCAGTGCTGATTGTGAGCATCACTGAACTATCAACTCTTCAAATAATAAGTGGAAGAAGGTCTAACAGTATGATCCCTCTCACTGTTACACTGGATCAACAGGCTAGACTACAAACTCTTGGATTCAGAATTACACCCAACCTTCTCATTCAGGAGGCAAAAGTGTTTGCAACTGAGCCAAATTGGTGTTTAAACATTGAAGCCAAATTTAATAGTTGAGGGAAGTTTATGTATCCATTTGGTCACACATCCGTCCCATTTATGGGATTCCGGTGCACCCCATTCCAAATGAGCACAAACTTCTCCTTTTGCCTCTGGTGAAGTCTTTTTCTAGTCCTAGCACTTGCAAGTCCTCGAAGAGACCTACAGGTTGCAAGGTTTGAAATGCAGATGCAACAAGATCGGAAGGCCCTTCATTGGTGAAATTTTTGTTGAAATGGATTTGCATTCTATCAAGGATTAGGTGTGACCTACATTCCACTTGTAATTGTGTAATATTCATTACTCTCATGTAAGGAGTGACTGGACTCTCAGCCAGAGAGAGCTGGTGCTCCTTCTGTTTAGGAAAGACTTCGCCACCGTCCACTCACCCCACCCCAACCCCAGCAGTTTTTCAAGACAGAGTAACTAATCCTACAGATGACTCAGGCTCTGTAAATGTGCAGGTTTGCTCCCTCAGATGGAGATCAGATCATCTTTTGAACCCCTACTTGAGAAAGGATGCTGGGGTTTGTTTGCCAGTAGAGTGGCTTTGGACCACTTTGTATCCGCAAAACATGTGTGTGTGTGAGAGAGAGTGCGTGCGTGTGTGTATGTGAGAGAGAGTGCGCGCGAGTGTGTGAGAGAGAGAGAGCGCGCGTGTGTGTGTGTGAGAGAGAGTGCGCGTGTGTGAATGTTAGTGTGTACGTTTGTGAGAGTCTGTGTGTGTGCGTGTGCACGTGTGAATGCGCGTGAGAGTGTTTTGTGTGAGTGTGTGCATGTGTGCTCATTTGTCTATATGAGTGAGTCAGTGCAAGAGCTAGTGAGTGTGTATGAGTGTCTATGCGAGTGTGAGAGTCCGAGTTTGTGTGTGTGTTGAACGGGGACTGTTGAAATTAAAAGTTCAGAGCTTCCATGGGTTCACAAATGGCACTCAAGCAAGCTCAATTGGTACTAGTAAGCCATCATTTCTGGAACAGGGAACATGGTGAGTGGTGGGGGGTGGGGGCAGTGCATTCCTCTGAAAATGAAGAGAAATCAGTTTCAAGCAACATGGAACCTGAACTCAGTTTTCCGCAAGTTTAATTTACATTGGAAATAAGCAGGAACAGCCAGAAATCTCAGGGCATTTGCTTTGGATGGTTTGTGGGTTTTTTTGTATGTGAGGCTTAGGCTCGCAGGCAGTATTGGATGTTCGATAGAAGGAGCAGCAGTGAGCGTAAATCACAAATACAGGAAAGAAAATATACCAAGGTAAATAAAATGTAGAACGGTGATCATTTTTTCCCCTCACATTATATGCTGTTTGATTAGAAGTGAGTCACTGTTGAAACGATGTATGATTGACAACTGACTACTATGTCCATTTTGTCTTCAGATTTCTGCCTATCTCTCCAAAAAGAAGATGAATCATGACTGGCATGGTTCCATGATAATCCTCCAGTATAGTGTCATAGAGATGTACAGCACGGAAATAGGCCCGTTGGGTCCAACTTGTCCATACCGACCAAATATTCTAAATTAATACAGTCCCATTTGTCAGCATTCGGCTCCATATCCGTCTAAAGCCTCCCTATTCATGTACCCATCCAGATGCCTTTTAAAAACGTTCATGCAATAAGTTAGCCCTAGACTGGTGTTGTCCAGTTAGAGTCAGTGGCTAGCCACAGCTGGGGCACGGTGAAACCAACTTCGTCACATGTACCAACTTGTGTTCAAAACACCTATGCCCAGTCATACAATACGGTTGCCTGTACTGTGGATGTGTATATTTACTGAACTGACACCTACTGCCATTCAGTAATAATATCTCCGAGATATTAACAGGAAAAGACAGGATAGACAAAGATAAACTATTTCTACTGGTTGGGGATTCTAGAACTAGGGGCACACAGTCTGAGAATTAGGGCCAGACTATTCAAGAGAGATGTTAGAAAGTCCCTCTACACACAAAGGATGGAGGAGGTTTGGAACTCTCTTCCACAAACGGCAGTGGATGCCAGACCAGTTGTTAGTTTTAAACTGAAATAGATAAATCTTTGTTAAGCAAAGGTGTTTAGGGATATGGGCCAAAGGCTGGTATATGCAGTTAGGCCACAGATCAGCTATGATCTCATTGAATGGCAGAATAGGCTCAAGGGTTGAATGTTCCTATGTAACAGAGTGAAGCACTGGTATGCTGCTCTCTGACTCATTATGTATCAAAGAAATGCACAAAAAAGTTCAAATTCACTTCTATTTTAGGTGGCAATATGGAGGCCACATGCCTAATAATGAAGCCTGCTCTTTATTTTGTGGTTTCTAATGACAAATGGAATTACCCAGAAGTGGATTCCTGATCCACCATGTGGCTGATGGTCCATCATACAAGACTACACTGTGCTGGACAGTGAAGGCCAGTGCAATGTCTGTCAGTTAAAAGACAGTGGGGGATGTGATGGGTTATATCTGACTCCAATCCGGTCTGTACTTAACACTGCACACAGGCCAGAGGGTTTTGTAGTGCAGATCTCACACAGCTGCCTTCAAGATGATGTAAACCTTATGAGCTGAAACCAAGGATGAGAGACCATTGCTTCAATCATTAAAATTAAAACAGAAATAAAGATGTAGGAACTTACTGGTAAGCCCCAAATAAAACTTACTGTAGACACTGACTCTGGGCTTGCACTTTCCAACCCTAATTTCTAATTTACCCAAAATTGACATGAGAGAACTCAAGGGTGGGACTGGCCTGAAAATCTATAACTTAGGCATTCCTAGCTCACAGATGGCAGCCCAGCTTGCATTGTGCCTTTACTGAATTGGGAATAAGATGGATACCTGTAGTGACTGCGTCATGAGAGAAGTCACATGACCATGGCAAGCCAAGAAGCACATTTTTTTTTTGTTTTTCTTCATGGGATGGAGGCTATTGCTCATCGCTAATTGCCCACAATGCTGAGGCCTGGAGTTACATTGGCCTGGCCAGGTAAGGAGAGCAGATTTCCTTCCTTAAAAGGACATCAGTGAAGCAGATAGGTTTTCATTACCATTGACAATAGTTATATTGTCGCCATTAAACAAGATTATTACAGAACATGACCAAATTCACATTTCACCAAACCAATGTCCCCAGAGCATTATCTGGGGTTATGGATTACTAGGCCAATTATATTAGCACTGTACCACCATCTCCTCCAACCACAGTATTGAACTTCCACCCAAGCAACCCCCTTTCGATGAAAAAAAAATTTGCATGCACCATCATTTACACTGCAAAGTAGCCACATCACTCACTATGCAAACAACTCTTTGCATGCATTAACAAAGCTGTTTGTTATTGCAGTTACTCCCCCTTTTGTCAGTCTCTTTACACACACGGCAGGATCATGACTTGTTGGATTTCCCTCCAATGTCTGCAGGTTCGAACATTGTTCCTGGTTGGAACAATGCGCTCCCTGGTTCAGTTTTGAAATCTTCTCAGCAGACCTGGTCAATGTTGCAACAAGTGTCTATCAGATACTCCAGTTTCATTGTATGCTCTTGTTCTGCTGTCTTCATCACAATAGTTACAAACTATTTTTCCCCTTTAGACTTGAATTGGCAACCTGCTCTAAGATGTAAATTAAACCATCCAAGTCTTCATCTGACATCTCAGTGGTAGCCCACACTTGATTTGACAGTCATCGTTCAACACTTCTGTCACAATCATCTCTGTATGCTTCTTCGACTTACTCCCAGCTAAACACTCGAATGCAAAGGGCTTTAGCAACTTGCAGTTAAAAAGCTACTTTCTCCACACAGGGCACGCTTTCTCTGTTTGATGTGATGACCTCCAGGGCAGCACAGTGGCTCAGTGGTTGGCATTGCTGCCTCACAGCACCACAGGCCCAGGTTCGATTCCAGCCTCGGGCACTTTCTGTGTGGAGTTTGCATGTTCTCTCTGTGTCTGCGTGGGTTTCCTCTAAGTGCTCTGGTTTCCTCCCAAGTCCAAAGGCGTGCAGATTAGGTGGATTGGCCAAGCTAAATTGCCGATAGTGTCCTGAGAGGTGCAGGCTAGGTGGGTTAGCCATGGGGAATGCAAGGCTAAAGGGACAAGATAGAGGGGTGGGATGCAGTTTGGAGGGTCAGAGTGGACTTGATGGGCTGCTTCCATATTGTATGAATATTTAAAACTTGCCCTTCAGCCTTGATCTTTCTGCTGGCCTTTCTGTAAATACTTCTAATCTTCTCTTGCACTTCGAAGGTCTAGGAAGGTTATCAAGATCATGAACAGGTCTGAGTCACTTATCAAACTGGTGCACAGGTCTGGGCTGTTTCACCACATTGTGCACAAACCCATCTGTTTTCCCAAGTATACTGTGCAGCTGTTGGTTATCAGCTAACAACTTCTACACAACTTCTTCTTCAAAAATGAGGTTTTCTTTCCTTAGTAGTCATGCTGTCATTGTCGGATCTCTTGAGCCTAAGATCATTCTATCTTTGATGAGATCATCTGGGTGGTGCCTGAATTCACAGGATTATGTGAGGTGTGATAATGCAGTCCCATACTGATCATTGGGTTCTTCTTCATCCTGAACCCTAATATTGTACACACATCATTCATAAGTCACATTCACTTGGGATCCAAAGCATGGCTTTCAAATTCTGGGCTGTCTTA